CAGAATGAAACACCGCCAGTTCCTGCGCCATCCTCACAATCGTTGCTATGTTTGAGCCCATTGTTGCAGCCACTGTGTCAATCCATCTTGTTGAGGGTCTGCCTCTTTTTTGCTGACCCTCTGCTTTACCAACTGTCTTAGTCATCTCGTGCTACTCTAACAGGAATACCACAAGTGGATAGCTTCAACAAAGAGAAGTTTATTCTCTCACAGTCCAGCACGCTACAAGTCCAAATTCAAGGCATCAGCTCCAGGAGAAGGCTTTCTCTCTCTGTTGGCTCTGGAGAAAGGTCTTCGTCATCATCAGCCTTCCCCTGGACTAGGAGCTTCTCTGCACAGGAACCTCCGGTCCAAAGGACGTGCTCTGCTCCTGGTGCTCCTTCTTGGTGGTATGAGGTCCCCCATTCTCCGCTTGCTTCCCTTTCCTTTCATCTCTTACAAGAGATAAAAGGTGGTGCAGGCCATATCCCAGGGAAACTCCCTTTACATTGGGTCAGGGATGTGACCTGGGTAAGGGTGGTGTTACAATCCCACCCTAATCCTCTTTAACATAAAATTACAATCACAAAATGGAGGCCAACCACACAATTCTGGGAATCATGGCCCAGCCAAATTGATACACACATTTTTTTGGGGGACGTAATTCAAACCATGACACCAATTATGATGTCCTTCTCCAGGCACTGGTCCCTCCTAATAACATGTCCAAAGTGCTTCAAATGAAGTCTTGCCATGGTCACTTCTAAGGAGCATTCTGGCTGTACTTCTTCCAAGACAGATTTGTTCGTTCTTCGGCAGTGCAGCAGTCTGTGGTATACCAGTACTCAATATCCTTTGCCGGCACTATAATTCAAAGGCATCAATTCTTCTTCAGTATTCCTTATTCATTATCCAGCTTTTGTATGCATATGAGGTGATTGATAATACTGTGACTTGAGTCAGGCGCACCTTAGTCCTCAAAAGACATCCTAGCTTTTTAACACTTTAAAGAGGTCTTTTGCAGCAAATTTGCCCAATGCAATGCGTCGTTTGATTTCTTGACTGCTGCTTCCATGGGTGTTGATTGTGGATCCAAGTAAAATGAAGCCCTGTTTTTAATCATGATGTTGCTTATGGCTCCAGTTCTGAGGTTTTTTGTTTTCTTTATGTTGAGGTGTAATCCATACGGAAAACTGTAGTCTTTGATCTTCACCAGTAAGTACTTCCTCTTCACTTTCAGCAAGCAAGGTTGTGTCATCTGCATATCACAGGTTGTTAATGAGTCTCCCTCCAATCCTGATGCTGCGTTCTTCCTCATATATTCCAGCTTCTCAGATTATTTGCTCAACATACAGATTGAATAAGTATGGTGAAAGGATACAACCCTGACACACACCATTCCTGATTTTAAACCATGCGATATCACCTTGTTCTGTTCAAAGGACTGCCTCTTGGTGTATGTACAGGTTTCACATGAGCACAGTTAAGTGTTCTGGAATTCCCATTCTTTGCAGTGTTATCCATAATTTGTTATGATCCACATAGTCCAATGCTTTTGCATAGTCAATAAAACACAGGTAAACATCTTTCTGGTATTCTCTGCTTCAGCCAAGATCCATCTGACGTCAGCAGTGATATACTTCATTCCATGTCCTCTTCTGAATCTGGCAGTTCCCTGTCAATGTACTGCTGCAACTGTTTTTGAATTACCTTCAGCAAAATTTTACTTGCTTGTGATATTAATGATATTGTTTGATAATTTCCACATTCTGTTAGATCACCTTTCCTTGGAATGAGCACAAATATGGGTCTCTTCCAGTTGGTTGGTCAGGTAGCTGTCTTCCAAATTTCTTGGCATAGACAAGTGAGTGCTTCCGGCAATGCATCCATTTGTTAAAAACACTTCAGTTAGTATTCTATCAGTTCCTGGAACCTTGTCTTTCACCAAAGCCTTCAGCGCAGCTTGGACTTCTTCCTTCAACACTATAGGTTCTAGATCATATGCTGCCTCCTGAAATGGTTGAATGTCAACCAGTTCTTTTTTGTACGGTGACTCTGTGTATTCTTTCCATCTTCTTTTGATGCTGCTGCGTCGTTCAATATTTTGCCCACAGAATCCTTCAGTATTGCCACTCAAGGCTTGAATTTTTCTTCAGTTCTTTCTGCTTAAGAAATGCCAAGCATGTTCTTCCCTTTTGGTTTTCTATCTCCAGGTCTTTGTACAGTTCATTATAATACTTTACTTTGTCTTCTTGAGCTGCACTTTGAAATTTTCTGTCCAACTATTTTACTTCATTATTTCTTCTATTTGCTTTAGCTACTCTAAGTTCAAGAGCAAGTTTCAAAGTCTCTTCTGACATCCATTTTCGCTTTTCTTTCATTCCTGTCTTTTTCATGACCTCTTGCTATTTTCATGTATGATGTCCTTGATGTCATCTCATAACTTGTCTGGTCTTCAGTCGTTAGTATTCATTACATCAAATCTGTTCTTGAGATGTTCCCTAAATCCAGGTGGAATATACTCAAGGTCATACTTTGGCTCTCCGGTGGACTTGTTTTAATTTTCTTCAGCTCCAACTTGAACTTGTATATGAGCAATTGATGGTCTGTTCCACAGTCAGCCCCTGGCCTTGTTCTGACTGATGATACTGAGCTTCTTCTACGTCTCTTTCTATGGATGTAGTCAGTTTGATTCCTGTGTATTCTGTCTGGCAAGGTCTACGTGTATAGCTGTCATTTATGTTGCTGAAAAAAGATATTTCCAATGAACAGGTCATTGGTCTCGCAAAATTCTATCATACGATCTCCAGTGTCGTTTCCATCACCCAGGCCGTATTTTCCAACTGCTGATCCTTTTTCTTTGTTTCCAACTTTTGCATTCTGATCACCAGGAATTATCAGTGTATGTTGATTGCCTGTTTGATCAACTTCAGACTGCAGAAGTTGGTAGAAATCTTCTATTTCTTCACCTTTGGCATTAGTGTTTGGTGTGTAAATTTGAATAATATATTAACTAGTCTTCCTTGTAGATGTGTGCATATTATCCTATCACTGACAGTGTTGTACTTCAGGATGGATCTTGAAATATTCCTTTTGATAATGAATGCAATGTGGTTCCTCTTCACTGTGTCATTCCTGGCATAGTAGACCACAGGATTGTCTGATTCAAAATGGCCAATTTAATTTCAAACAATTTCTAATTTTCTTTGATTCATACTTCGTACATTCCACATTCCAATTATTAATGGATTTTTGCAGCTATTTCTTCTCATTTTGAGTTGTGCCACCTCAGCAAATGAAGGTCCCGAAAACTTTATTCCATCCACATCACTAAGGTCAATTCTACTTTGAGGAGGCAGCTCTTCCCCAGTTGTATTTTGAGTGCCTTCCACCCTGAGGGGCTCATCTTCCAGCACTATGTCAGACATTGTTCTGCTGTTATTCATAAGGTTTTCACTGGCCAGTTTTTTTTAGAAGTGGATCATTAGGTCCTTCTTCTTAGTCTTAGTCTGGAAGCTCTACCGAAACCTGTTTACCATGGGTGACGCTGCTGGTATTTGAAATACTGATGGCATAGCTTCCAGCATCAAAGCAACACGCAAGCACCATGGTATGACAGACTGACAGATGAGTGGTGGTTAATATGTACACAGACAGAGAAATATAGATGCATGGATTAGTATGTATACATGTATTTTCTAGCTCTGTCTGCTTGGAGAACTTAGAAGCAGTGAAACCTGGGCAGCAATGAGCACATCTAGCATCCATATCTTGGCTTTTAAACACCATTCCACAATAAAAGGAATCAAGGCTCCTTGCAGAAATAGTTAATTCTAGGGCTAGAGCAGGGGACATGCAAAATGAGTCTGGAACATCTTTTGTGCTAGAAAATAAGAAAGTGCTCAAAAAAGGGTGGCACTTGTCAAAAGGACACAGGCGCCAACCTGCATGGACAAAGGTTTTAAACAATTTTAGCCACGAAATAAATAATGATAGTTGGAATTTAACTTATTGAATAAAATAAATGTACACGAGTCCATACTGATATAAATACATCATCGAATAAATAAATATATGGAGGAGATGGAACAGCTTTTTTTTTTTTTAACTGAAGAATTAATAGTTAGTAAACATAGACGGAAAAGTGAAATAGAAAATCACCATTATGCAAACATCACGGTGATAAATGTGGTGAACAATATCCACTGATGGATGCTAAAATTAGTGGGCAAAGTTTGAGGAGAAGCAGGCTATTTCCAGGGTTTCAAAGTATCTCCCCAGTGTATTTATTAATTATGAAGAGAAAGATAAATTTCTAGTGTAGAAACTTTGCAGACACTACCTTAACCAAGTATAATAAGAGTAACTTACTTGTAATAAGACATCCAGATCGTGAACCCGTTGGTATTGTGCCCTGAGAACACATCATTTCACTGTTCTGAAAGACAAGGAAAGGCTGAGGAACTGTCACAGATTGGAGAAGACTAAGGAAAAATATAGGAGCCCTGGTGGCGCAGTGGTTAAGTGCTTGGCTGCTAACTGATAGGTTGGCAGTTCGAACTCACCAGCTGCTCCGCAGGAGAAAGATGTGGTAGTCTGCTTCCATAAACCTTGAAAACCCTATGGGGCAGTTCTGCTCTGTCCAGTCGGGTTGTATGAGTCAAAATTGACTCAACAGCGCCTAACAACAACAAGGAGAAACACCAACTAATTGCAGTGTGGGAAACTGGATAGACTCTTAGAACAGAAAAAGGACATTAGTGGAAAAACTAATGAAATTCAGATAAGGTCTGCAGTTTAGTTACTAGTATTCTACCAATATTAATTTCCTGATGCTGATCATTGTGCTGTGGTTGTGTAAGATGCTAATGTTAGGAGAGGTTGGGTGAGGGGTATACGCTAAAATTAGTTCAGAATGAAAAGTTTTAAATAAAATAAAATAAAACATATAAGGTACACAGCAACAAGCATTCCAATAAAAGTAAACTGTTCTCTGGTTCTTCTTGTTGCAATTTCCACAGCGGAGCGGCTTTCAAGCAGCTGGCTGGATGTTCGTCACATTGAAAAATATGTGGAACAAGGTAAAAGTGGAACAAGAGAATTGCTTTGGTCCTGGGCACAGAAAAACAAGACCATCGGTGACCTTTTACAGATTCTTCAGGAGATGGGTCATCATCGAGCTATCCATTTAATCACAAACCATGGTAAACACTTATTATTATAATATGGCTCTCAATCCATCTTATAGGAATTGTAATTGTAAGTGTAAATACTGCCTTTTCTCCAAGAGATTGACTAGTCATCCTATATGTCAGTGCTCTTATCTGAAGGGCCCCCTGCAGCTTCACATTCATTCATTCATTTGTTTTATTGTGCTTTAAGTGAAAGTTTATAGTTCAAGTTAGTTTTTCATATAAAAATTTATACACACATTGTTATGTGACCCTAGTTGCTCTCCCTATAATGTGACAGCACGCTCTTCCTTTCCGCCCTGGATTTCCCATGTCCATTCAACCAGCCTGTCCCTTTCTGCCTTCTCATCTCACCTCCGGACAGAGCTGCACATTTAGTCTCATGTATCTACTTGAGCCAAGAAGCACATTCTTCATGAGTATCATTTTATGTCCCATAGTCCAGTCTAATCTTTGTCTGAAGAGTTGGCTTCAGGAATGGTTTTAGTTTTGGGCTAACAGAGAGTCTGGGGGCCATGTCTTCCCGGGTCCCTCCAGTCTCAGTCAGACCATTAAGTCTGGTCTTTTTACTAGAATCTGAGTTCTGCACTCCACTTTACTCCTGTTCCATCGGGGACTCTCTGTTGTGTTCCCTGTCAGGATAGTCATTGGTGGTAGCCGAGCACCATCTAGTTCTTCTGGTCTCAGGCTAATGGAGTCTCTGGTTTATGTCCCTTTCTGTCTCTTGGGCTAATATTTTCCCTGTATCTTTGGTGTTCTTCATTGTCCTTTGCTTGCTCCAAGTGTGTTGGGACCAATTGATGCCTTTTAATGGCCGCTCACTAACTTTTAAAACCTCAGACACCACTCACCAAAGTGGAATGCAGAACATTTTCTTAATAAACTTTATTATGCCAACTGACCTAGATGTCCCCTGAGACCATGGTCCCCCGAGCCCTGCCTCTGCCACTCTGTCCCTCGAAGTGTTTGGTTGTCTTCAGGAAACTTGTTAGCTTTGGTTTAGTCCAATTGTGCTGACTTCCCCTGGAGTGTGTGTTGTCCTTCCCTTCATCTGAGATAATTCTTGTCTACTATCTAGTTAGTGACTACCCCTCTCTCCCTCCCTTGCTACTCTTGTAACCATCAAAGAATGTTTTCTTCTGAGCGTCACCTTTTTTATGACACAGTCTTCCTTCATTGCCTAACTTATTACAACACATTTTTTTCTACCACTTTACAGTTGGTGTTTTTAACCTTTACTTACAAACTATACCTTCCTATGTTTCATTTTTTTGCTAATAGAATCAGCTCTCTATCTAAAACTCTAAGACTCTGAATCATAAACATGATCAGAATCACATTTGGGTAAAATATAGCTATTGCTATAATTTGTTTTATCATATGATTAGAAGTTAAAAAGATAATTGGGATTGTTTCCCCCTGTATTTTTGGTGCAAATGAGACCTCCATAGTAATCCTGAGATTTATCTTCACTGCTGTTTTTATGCCACAGCCTCTATCTCTACCTAGCTTGTTTACTATCCATTCCGCAGCACCCTAATTCTCCCCTTTGTTTGACTTGTCTGTCTGTCTGTGTCATTCCTTACGTTTAGAACAACTTCATAAGTAAAGCTCATGAAGTGCTCTCCAATCTTTTTCTTTGTCAATAAGTCTCCAAGTGTCCCCTGTTGTGTTTTTTCCACTTAGATTTTTTCACATCAGCAATAATGATTGTGAGTGCTATTGGGTCTGAAGTTATAGATGCAGGGCTCTTAGGTTGGAAGCTCTTTGAGTTAACGTCTTTATTCTTTGGTTCTTTTCATCCAGGCATATTTTTAGTCCTGTATATTTGCACATTTGTTCTTTGACAATAAATTTAGTGCACAGGAACCTCTACCTTATCACCCAAAGAAGTCTCGCACATAACAAAGAAGAAATCCTGAGAGATTTGTACCAGAAAACTGAAGCTTCAGATTGACTTTTATTTTGTGGGTTTTTCTTATTAATAGGATATTAGACAGTTGCCGGTACGCTTCCACCATGATATCATCTATATACTTGGCTAATCCCTTTTGTCTTTTGTGCACTATTTCTTCACTTAGTTTAGTATAGAAGCTGATTGGTCGAGTGAAATGTGGTGAGTTCCTGGGAACTATAAATGCAATGCCTTCTCCTTATCTGGGCCTTTTCCAGCCGCTGAAACCACCCACATAGCTTGCTGTTTACAATATAAACTCACACCACTTTGATAGGACATGTGGTTATGTTTCATACCTCAGTGTTCTGGAATAGATTTTAGGGTATCCTTTCACTCTGTTGTTTGTTTATACAGTGGAGAATGATTTGGACTGTGGGTAGACAAAAATTCCACATTCTTGGCTAGCTCCCAGTCTGTTGCGCATTCAAAGTTGATTTTTTAAAAATGTGATGTTATCTGGTTGGTGGAAAAACACTTCTTTACTGGCTTAGTACAAAGAGCGAGGAAAACATGAGATTAAGAGGAGGTAGTGCCTTGCTCTGAGTCCTTTACTAAGTAAAATAGCATTATTTGGTTGTAATTATTGAGTTGATATTTTGAATTAAATTATAACCTTGAAAAACTTCATTGTATAGGTTATTAAAGGTAAAGATATAATGACTCATTGGAAACATAAGTGTCACTTGCTGAGCAGATGTTCCCTATGATAGTTACTCACTGAATTAGGAGTTGAGCTCCTAATTGAAAATGTATGAAAAGATTTAATCTTTCTTTGATGGGCAGATTCATTAGTTATCCAGATAATTTGTTTTTACCTACCTTTCCTTAAAATTTTGTTCAGTTTGGTGGTATGGCTTTTATTTTAGAAAAAAAAATTTTTTTTTATTGTACTTCAGGTGAAGGTTTACAGAGCAAAGAAGTTTCTCATTAAACAATACGCATATTATTTTGTAACAGTGGTTGCTAACCCCATGACATGTCAGCATGTCTTCACGTTCCCCATTACCAGTTTTCCTGTCCCCTCCTGCCTTCTTGTCCTTGCCCTTGGGCTGATGTGTCCATTTAGTCTTGTTTTGTTTTATAGGCCTGTCTAATCTTTGGCTGAAGGGTGAACTTCAGGAGTGACTTCAGTACTGAGTTAAAAGGGTGTCCGGGGCCATACTCTTGGGGTTTCTCCAGTCTCTGTCAGACCAGTAAGTCTGATCTTTTTCTGTGAGTATGAATTTTGTTCTACATTTTTCTCCAGCTCTGTCTGGGACCCTCTCTGGTGGTGGTAGCCAGGCACCCTGTATTTGTACTGGACTCAGTCTGGTGGAGGCTGTGGTACTTGTGGTCCGTTACTCCTTTGGAATAATCTTTCCCTTGTGTCTTTGGTTTTCTTCATTCTCCCTTGCTCCAGATGGCGTGGGAGCAGTGGAGTATCTTCGATGGCCGCTCACAAACTTTTAAGACCCCAAATGCTACTTATCGAAGTACGATCTAAAATATTTTATTTTAGAGAAATTTTTGACCTTTCAGATCCTAAACTCTAGAGGTCAGGTTTTTTTTTTTTTTTTTTTTTTTTTTTTTTGTGCTTCAAGTGAAGGTTTACAGAGCAAATTAGTTTCTCATTAAACAATTAACACGTGTTGTTTTGTGACATTTGCTGCTAACCCCACGACTTGTCAACACTCTCTCCTTCTTGACCTTGGGTTCCCCATTTCCGTTCATCCAGTTTTCCTGTCCCCTCCTGCCTTCTCATCCTTGCCCCTAGGCTGGTGTGCCCGTTTAGTCTTGTATACGTGGTTGAGCTAAGTGTATTATTATTTGCTTTATGGGCCTGTCTAATCTTTGGCTGAAGGGTGAACCTCTGGAGTGACTTCAGTACTGAGTTAAAAGGGTGTCCAGGGGCCATACTCTTAGAGTTTCTCCAGTCTCCATCGGGCCAGGAAGTCTGGGTTTTTTTTAATTTTTTTATTGTACTTCAGGTGAAGGTTTACAGAACAAATAGTCTCTCATGAAACGGTAGTACACATATTGTTTTATGACATTGGTTAACAACCCCACGACATGTCAACCCTCTCCCTTCTCGACATTTTTTTTTTTTGGTGAAAATATACATAGCCAAAGATACACCATTTCAAAAATTTCTACATGCA